TGTCATACTAAGGCACATGGTTTAGTGGGGAGATACTGGTGGTAGGTGGACGGTTGGACTGGGTGATCTTGGAGGTCTTTTCCAACCTTGGTGATTGTACAACTCCTTAAAGAATACATATACAATAATCCACACCTAGGAAAGGTCTCAAATAATGCATTTCAAGTGATCTAAAGTTCCTTTCATTCAAAAAAGATCAAATCAACTTTTGCACAACTGCACAAAAACCACATCAGATCTCCAATTATCAGTGCACACAGACCACAGCACAGAAGGAAACGGAGATCACACTGTGGATCCCTTTAAAAAGTTTTGAAACAAAATATGATGATTATCTTTAATGGCTTATCATTCAACAAGATAGTTCAGAGTTCCCTTCAATCTGTATTTCAAGAAAACAAGCTCTTACATAGCTTTTTGATGGATTTTCAGCCACATTAGATGTCAAGATTAGCAGGTAAGCTTATTAGCACATTCTGCAATAAAGTATCTGCTGCAACCATCTAAGTTTTATTTGTGCTGTATAGAAAGTACAGAAGAATTCTTAATTCTTATACTCTAACACTATAAAGGGCACAAAACCTCTTCTCATCATTCTGGAATAACTCCTTCTGTGCATAGAAAGCAAACAAATCTGGACACCCATCAGAAACAGACAAAGATGTTTAACACAGGACAAGACAACTGCACTCCATAAGACCCAGAAATTACACATTACATGAAACTACTTTAAGGGATAAAGCTGCAAAATATTTTGGATAAGAATTTGCAGAGATGACGCCACTTAGCACAAAGGGACAGAGAATGCTGGCAGAGTAGGAGGTTCATGGCAGAAAACACAAATTCGCATACAACAGCACTAGAAGAAGAACAGTAGTGTTCCTCAGGCTGGTGACACTGCGACCACCACTATTTAATATCTTTGTCAGCAACGTGGACAGTGGGACTGAGGGCACTCTCAGCAAGTTTGCCAAGGAAGCCAAGCTGAGTGGTGCAGCTGATGCACTGGAGCAAAGTGCTGCCATCCAGAGTGACATGTACAGGCTTGAAAGGTGAGTCAGTGCAAACCTCATGAAGCTCAATACAGACAAGTGCAAAGTTCTGCACTTGTCAGAGCAGCTCCAAGCACAAAAAAAAGCTGGGCTAAGAATTGATTGAGAACAGTCCTGAGGAGAAGGCTGTTGGTTGATGAGAAGCTCAGCACAACCCAACAAAGCATGCTTGCAGCCCAGAAAGCCAATTGTATCCACAGCTACATGAAAAGCATAGCCCGTGGGGCAGTAACTCTGCCATTTCACTCTGCTCTCTCGAGATTCACCTCACCTGGAGCACTGCATTCAGCTCTGAGATCACTGGCAAAAGGGCATGAAGCTGTTGGACTGAGTCCACAGCAGCAGGCAGATTATCAGAGGGCTGGAGGACCTCTCCTATGAAGACAGGCTGAAGGAGTTAGCGTTCAGCCTGCAGAAGAAAAGTCTCTGGAGAGACCACATCTCAGCTTTCCAGTACTTGAAGGGAGGCTACAGGAAAGCTGGGGAGGGACTCTTTATCAGAGATTATAGAGATAGGGAAAAGGGCAGTGGCTTTAAACTGGAAGATGGTAGATTTAGACATTAGGAAGAAATTCCCTACTCAGAGGGTGCGGAGGCACTGGCACAGATTGTGTCCAGGGAAGCTATGGATACCCATCCCTGGAGGCATTGAAGAACAGGCTAGATCAGGCCCTGAGCAGTCTGATTTGGATGGAGCAATCCATGACCACAGCAATGGATTCAGAACTAATCTTTAGGGTCCCTTTACAACAGAAACCATTTCATGAGATTTCATATAATCCATAAAATATTCATAAATTGCAAGCAACTTAAAGATTAATACAATATGGAACTTAAGCTCATAAAAGAAGACCTCTGCGCAAGTCAAAGTAGTCATCACTAATGCATGTAAATGCGTGAGATCAACTCTGAGTTCATTAGATAATGCTCTTCTGGAAAATGTGGATGCTGAAAAAACTAACATTAGCTTCAATCTTTATTCTAGCAACACTGTTTCCAAACAAAACATCAACTAGGCTTCCTTCACAGACAACAGAGAGCAAAGGAGCTCTCAGAATAAAACCTTCTGGGATCAGGCCTTGCTAGAACTTTCTTCTGCATCACCTTAAACAAAAATTCAATCAGTTATAAATCAAAGAAAATTTAGTAATCACAAAATAAAACTCTCCCATCCCTTAAAGACATACAAATAAAGACTGTCATATTTCACACCTTCTCTTTTTTTCCAAAAATTCTGAACAAAATCAGAAATTAGTTAATAGTTGCTCACCCCAAGGCTAAATTCAACTTGCCTTCCTCACTCTCTGCCAAGTAGCTTAACACATCAGAGGCAGCTAGCTGCTAAGAAAGGCACTGCATAAGAACTTAAGATGAAACACAGACTGAAATGGGACTAGATTTACACTTGACACAAGCAGAAGTTTCATCTCTGTACCAATACAAGTCTTTCTGTATAGTTAATTGTCACTGAATGGAAGTATTTTTCAAATTAGATCTACTAATACATTGGAAAAAATAATTATTCACCTTTTTACATTTCCCAGGAGAAACCTAGCATACTCTTATCATACATAAATAGTACAATAAAGATATTTGGCAGCAATCCTAAACCTCTAGAACCTCCTGGTGTTTGGTGCATTTTGAAGTGGAATAAAATAAATGTCAAGGTCTTTTGATTATCCACACACTTCATTGGGTTCCAGAGGTTTAGTAAACACCACAAAAATGATATATCAACATCTGGCTTTTTTCCTCCCTGCACCATGAACTATGCCTCAAAACGAAGAGGCTTTTCTTGAAAGAAACTCATACAGCAAGTGACCTTCTGTGGGGAGCACTTCTGTATTCTCCTGGAACCATCCCAACTGTCTGCTATTTTTCCTAGGAAAACAGCATATTCCAAGCACAGCAAAGCATGTAAATGACACATGCAATCACTGGGGCTCTGCCCTCCTACATACATCAGGATCCCAGAGGAAAGTTCACTGGTAAGGCTGACCACCCATGGAAACCCCCACCTCGTAACACTCTGACTGGAAAAGGGAAACGTGCAAAGGTATCCTCCTGTCCTGTTTACTCAGGGACTCCTGTAGTACTGTAAATATTCTGGTTAAGATTAAACAATTTCATTCCACATGTTTGCATCTGAAAAGCCCTCTCATGAGGGCTCGCCTCTTGAGAATATTGAAGTGTCTCAAAATTTATCCGAATTTCCATCTACAGTGGGGTAACTCATGCTCATGTAGTAGAAGCGGGACGACTTTCCACCGCTCGCACAAATCCCGGGTCTGTTCCCCAGGTTCACGCCCTCGAACCCGCCGTGCAAGCAGGTAACGGCCCTGCCCGGCAGCGCCAGCCGCTCGTAGAGCGGGCTTGCGGCGCCCCCTGGTGGGCACGGAGGGAGCAGCTGGAGACCGGCGCTAGGCTCCCGAGGGGCGGCGCGCCCAGCAGTGCGGGACTCGCTAACCGCATGCCGGCACTCCCAGCACGGGGCTGCACGGCCCCTCATACAGCGCTCAGCCACTCTCGCTGAGGAACGCCGTCCTCATGTGGTGACACCGCCCCTCGTCCCCTCACTCGGTTCCTCGAAGGGACAGGTCGCTCTCCTGTTACTTTAAGGGGTGAAAAACAGCACAGGAGGTTCTGTAGGAATATGAGAAAAAGCTTCTTTACTATGAGGAAAAACTTTACTATGAGGGTGACAGAGAACTGGAACAAGCTGCCCACAGGAGTGGTGGAGTCTCCTTTTCCGGAGATACGACCCACCTGGACACTTTTCTGTGTGACCTGCTGCAGCAAAGCTGCTTTAGCAGGAGGTTGGACTCCACAATCTCTAGAGGTTCCCTTCCAACCCCCACAGTTCTATGATTCTGTATGGTCAGACCTCTCCTCTGCCTCCTCCAGGCCCAGCAATGCCAGCCCTCATACACTGCATATGCCAACCCCAACCCCCCACACTGCTGAGGAACAGAGAGGAGCAAGGACCTCACTGGAGACACTCCTGAAGATGCGCCTGGCTTGCAGCACCAGAGAGAAGCTCAGTGTCAGCCTGGCCTAGAATGGTGTCAAATCTCAACTCTTTTAATACAACTCATTTCACTGGAAAAGCTCTTCTTTTTAAACATTTATTCTCTACTTGATAGGACACGCCTTAAGTTTTATTTTCTGCAGTTAAAAAAACTCCCCCATACAAGAATAGAAACACTACCAGTCCTAGCTGATACGATTCTGTATTTACTTGTGCCTTTCCTGAGCTCTCCAATCCTCATCACTAAAAAGACAGTCCTATATTTGTTAGTCTATTACCTTACCACCACTCAGAGATTATGCCCTATGCACAATAACTGAATTTGATGTGGGCAAGCTCTCAAAACACTCCAGAGAAATAAGAAGCTGACTGATTCAGCACATAACAGGAAATTGACATCAACTTGCTGGAGAAAGCCATTAGACAAGGGCTACGAAGAATCAAGATCACCATATTTCTGCTAAGAAATCTAGATCCAGGACATCTTTTTGTGCACATGTTGAAATACAAGAAATTCCATTTAAGAATAAACTTTATTCAGAGTGCTTAGACAGCTTGCTCAGAAAGACTGTGGAGTCTTCAAGCCTGAAGGGACTCAAAACACAACCACACAGCCCTGAGCAGTTCACTCTATCAGATCTTGCCTTGAGCACGGAGGTTGAAGTGGATGATCCCCAGGGAGGAGCCTTCCCATCACTGTCATTCTGTGTCTCAGCAATCACACTACCGATTTCTAGGTGTGCGGCACTGGTGGTTTTGAGATTTGGCAGTCAGAGAAAATACCCCAAAATTCTTGCTAACAGGATTCCTTTTAAAGTTAAAGAGAAGCCTCACATTCCTCCAAGTTAAGTGCAATCAAATAAGAATACACTACATAATTATAAGAGAAAAACTCCTTTTAAAAGAAAACGCTTTCTTACCTTACAAAGCTCATCATTCTCCTCTTGGCCAGGTAGAGAATTAAGATTTGTGCAGGAGTCAGTGTCCGATATCTCCAGTGAGCTGTCATCTTTCTCAGATTCATTACATTCATCTGCAGAATCACTATCCTTCTCCCAGTCAATAAACTCTGATTCATCTAAAGAAAATTTGTAATAATGTTTCTTATTCATTCCACATATTATTCAAAAATATGAATTTAAACAGTAAAACATTAATTATCCACGACTTGGGAAAAGCACAATTTTTGTGCTTTTTTTTTTTTTGCTACATATGTTGAACCTGCCTTTATGTTTAACTACTTTATGATCCCATCCCTTGTAAAATCCATACAGAGCTTCCATGAATGAACATATTAAAAAATAAAAATACAAAGTGCTGCCCATAAGGAGGTAGCATTTTTAACTACTTAGATAAGTACTTGGTTTAGTTGTTAATTTCTTAGGATTTAGAGTGATTATGGGTTTTTTTTCCATCCAGCTGAATCAGATTTTTTTTTTCCCAAGTGTGCTTATTCAGAATTAACTGTTTTAAGTAAAAGCAAATACGTCAGACAGTGACCCAGAAGGGCTGCAAAGCTGATGGAAATTAGCACCTGTTATGAGTGGTAACTCCCACACGTAACAAAAATACTTGAAATGGTAACCTTGTAAAACCATGCCCAAATACACAGGTCTGCAAACCAAATCTCTGACAGATGTTCGTATTAATTTCTCGTAAACAATCAGGCACAAGAAAATATGTGCTTGCTTCAAGCAAAGAACAGTGACAAAATGGCAATAAACACAGACACTGCTCTTTCACCATACTCGAAACCACATAGTCCAGAAATACACTTGTGCTCATCTACAAGGATCTTCTGAAAGGCAGTGGAAGCCTGAGTTGCTGTAGCAGGCCTCCTCAACCTTCGGGTCCAAGTGTCTCAGCACACAGGCTACTGGCAAAAAGAACCTCATTCAATTTTGAAAAGACAAAGTTTGGAGGAAGAAAACTGAAGACCTGAGTTTTGCTTGTATTGCTTTTGCAGACAGCAGAGAACGGAGGCACCTACATGTAAAGATGCTCTAGGCATCTCTACAGATAAGTGGAACAGGGGTAGTATGTTCTGTTACAGTGCTACAACAGTTTCACAGAACTGAATCACAGAACTGTAGGGGTTGGAAGGGACCTCCAGAGATCATCGAGTCCAACCCCCCATCACTAATTTCTTCACAGAACTTCCTAATTCTGAAGCCACCCAGACAAATAAACAGAAAGCTCTGGTTTGCCTGTGTGAATTCATTTCTGTTTCTAAAAACAAGCAAGCTATATAGAAAAAGTTTTAAATATAGTCATTGGTGACTAGTTTAGCACAAAGAGGTCTCTTGAAGCTATGTGCACACCGCATGCAACTTTTGATGGCAGTATGAATCCCAAGTTTTACCTTGTCACACATAAATTAGTCAATCCATTTGCTCAACTCACAGTCCTGTCTGAAAGCTACCAGATAACCAGGATCTGAAGTCTGTCTGCAGTGCTTCAGATCCAGCTCAAGTAATCACATTGAAAATACTTAAGTTCTAATGCAAATTAAACATCATCCTAATCAACTAAAATACACAAGATTTTTCTGTCTTCAGCTGCACTTTAATCAAAGTCTCTGCTATCTGGCATGCCTTGCTCCATGAAATAGAAAGCAAGTCCCAGAAACAAAACTCACAGTTGCTTGCACAACACAGCTAGCAGAGAAAACAAGGAATACTGTGTACTGAAATGAAAACTCATGCCATGTAAAATGATGTTATCTGCAGCTGCAAAGCCTGCCACATCTACTCAGTATATGTAGAGGCAGCAACACCCACTAGAAGAACAGAGCAGGCAGAGGAAGGTGTTCACAACACCAGCATGGAAAAGGAAATGGTACAAAATGGACTCCAGAGTTTAATTTTTTATTTTTTTTTTTACATAATTTATAATAAGAGGTTATGCTATACTCACTGATACGATGGAAAAAAGTCCTCCAAATGATCTAGATCTATTCTGATTAAGTCACGTCCTTTAGCCAGAATGATCTGGCAGTATTTTTGTCACAGCACTTGAAGCTGACAAAGTTCCTTGACAAATCTGCTCGTGTTTGGACTTACCTTCATCACTTCTGTCCTCTAACAAAAAATGCCTGCCCTGTGACTTCTCTGCTTTGCAAGTGAGACTCTTTTTGCTGTGTAACCTTGAAATCGATGTTTTATTTTCATTATCTGAAAAATCACTGCCACTAGAGGTCCAAATTATGTCTTCAACTTCCTTAGAGCTTTCAGCAGCAGATCCTGTTAAAGAGAATTGTAAAGTTTTAGATCGTTACAGAAATACAGTACAGTTAAATTTAAAATCCTATAAGAATTATGCTAAACTGTTTTTGAACTGGAAAAAATTTACCAGTTCTGTCAGCAAGCAAGAGATCAATACAGGAAAGTTAACTTAAATATTTCTTATACAGTCATGCTTTATTTTCATTTTGATTCTCTCTGCTGCTAGAGCAAGTAGAAAGACAAAGACTGAAGAAATCACTGCCCTATCTCTCCTTTCCTCTGGACTCAAGAAGTGAAAGATATGGAGACAGTCCATAAGTCCTCATACTCCTCATGACGCCTAGGGTTCTTTTTCCAATCACAACACTAAACAGACTCAGGTACATACAGAAGATGGTGAATGCAGGATGCTGACAAAGTTCTGTTTCACTGTCTATTCCTCATACTTACAAAACACCGTGTTTCTCTCATGCCTGCTTCTCAGTCTCCAAAGTGAAGTGAGAATTATTTCACCCTCTATCTAGACAGCTACAAGTTGGTTTTCACTTCCTGCTCTTGAAACTGTGGACAGTGTTCTGTCCCTGCCAGGATACATAGTATATACTATATTAGTAATAGTCTACCTGTTCAAAAGCAACAGCTAAAGTTTTTGCAGAGCTGGCATTCGAGGTTAAGAGAGGAGCTCAATCACAATAGCATCAGGACTGTCTCATCAAAATTAGATTCTAAGTACAAATACAGAAGAAAATCAGTACTTCTAGCAGCTTACACCTTGATAAGGGACAAAACAAAGTAGAAGTCTTTTTGACAGTACCAAGACAACATTGCTGTAACATACCAACTGGGCTTTCAGCAGTTGTTAAGAGTGGTCCAAGGTGCTTCTTAGTCTTAGATTTATTATCAGCACATCTCAGTGACTAGAAAGAGAGATGTAATCAAGATTATCCACACTGAGTTAAAATTGTCCTTATAGCAATATACTTCAGATCTGTTATTATACACCCACCACAACTGAGCACATCTTCAGACAGATTTTTCAGTCTCCTACTACACTGTAGTATCATGAGAACATTAACATGAAAGCTTAACTTTCATCACTGAGGAAAATATAAGTTCACTGTGACAATGACAAGATTGACATCTAACCTTGTAAAGAGCAAAAGCCACTATTTTCAGCATTAAAATGTCAAAAAGGGATAGGAAGACCATGCTTGATAAAGCACGTGCCCTGTTCCAAGGCTGCAGAAAAGCTTTCCATGCTCCCGTGTCCATTCATTAAATCCTACAAGCTATGTAACACTAGGACTGCTCGGTACCAGAAAGAAACAAAAACAAATCAGTTGAAGATTTTCAGCACACAGCCCTTTCCCACTCAGAGCTAACTGAATATCAAAATTCATGACCAAGATTAACATAGAAAAAATTAAGCTTAATTTGATATATAATTCCAAAGAGGAGCTACAAGGTCATAACACAATTGTTCTTTTTTTTACAGTGAATTCATTGTTGCAAACAAGCTCTTTATATCTAACAAGAATTCTTCTAATGCAAAATAAAGTCATTTTGTTCCATTTTTAATTTTTTTTTTTTTTTTTTTAAAGGAAGAAACAGTTCTCCATCCCAAATGTTAAATTAAGTAATACTTTTAGGGACAATACATAAAAGGGTGACTATTCAGTCAAGCGCGGAAAGCACACCACCAGCTGGGCTTTTCTTTCTTACACCTTTAAACAATTTTACCTCGAGCATAGAAGTACTTGCAAAGCCATCCCCACACCTAAGCCACGCACTGGAAATGGAAGCTGCAGCCACTGATGCCCTGAGACTTGATTTTTTCAGCTGTAGGGTTGTCTCATCTGGGAAGGACGCGCACTCTGCATTCCAAAACCGCTTCCGCTAAGAAAAAGAAACCCATCAAAAACATGAACGTGCAAAATGCTTCTCAAGTGAAATTCACTTAACCTAGACATTCCCTTTTTCTAAATACTTCCAAACAAACTCCTTATTTTAAAACAGACGGAAAAAGTTCTGAACACTTCCAAGCATTTCTTGCGCAACATCACACGACAACAGTAGCGCTAATTGTCACGGCTAAATCTGACCTTTGACGAGTGTGCCTCTCACTGCTCATCTATGTTCAGTTTGTAGTATCTGTTAGCTGCCCAACGAGGACGACAGTCCTAAGAGCAGCTCAGTAAAGTACATTATAACTACATAAATCCTTCAAACTCTCGTTTAATCTGATTGAATCCCGTGTTGTGCAGGAGGTCAGACCAGGTAACCAATAGCCTGCGCTCCATTAAACAACCAGCAGCAAAACACCAAGAACACCAGGCAGAACTCTTTCAGCTTCACAAATAACTTTTGTTTTCATCCATTTCTCCATAACGGCACATGAATTGAAGCACTTTCCTTATGTGCAATGTGAAAGTCATTCGGACTATCAAGTAAGCTATGAAAACAGGCTCCTCATTTGCATCCAGCACTAATTTCATGCAATAGATTTTACATGTGAAACCAGTTTAAACTGTTACCTCTAAGACTCTACATCAGTTTACACATATAAATTGAACTTGAGCACAGTAAAGATTTCAGTTCACTCTGCTGCTGAAACACTTTAGAACACTTTGACAGTACTTAAGAAGTACACCAAAGCTATGTTAATCAGCACATAAAGATAGGGGAAAGAAAGAGGTCAGGGGCAGCTTTTGTGTCTGATGTGTATTTGTTTCTTCCTTAACTTCTGAGTGCTGGCCATAATGAAAAAAGTACTTCCAAAAAGCACACAGTGAGCAGCACCTTGGTTTGCCCTTCAGTCAACCAGTCCTGTTTTATACACTAAGCCAGTCCTAATTATACACTGAAACAGAGAATAGATTCAGGCACATATATAATGCCAACTGATTTGTAATCCCACTGTAGATTACATAGGAATACCCAGCCAGTAATTTGAATGCAGATTAAAATCTATTTGTATTTTTCAAAAAGGGGATTCCAGTCAATTCCTTTGTTAATTTTTGCTTTGTTAGTTATTTTTGGAACCTTAACCCATGTTGGAAAGCATGCCTATGTGTATGCTATCAGGACTTCTAAACCTATACAAGATAAATTTTGCATAACAAAACCTGCAGTATGTGACAGATCAAAATGTGGTTCATCCAGTCATGTTTCTTAACTGGGGTTCTGCAGTTTGAAAGAATGTGCATCTGTGTCAGTAACATCACTATGACTTGCTCGGGGGTTTACAATACACAGCTTTTGATGGTCAATTAAAAGCAGAGGCAGTTGGAAACAACTGAAAAAGCCACAGAAATGCATGCACTAAGAGTTACATAAAATAGGCTTTGTAATGAATTTCTATTGTCAGGAAGCATTTTAAACAGCACTACAGAATGACTATGTCCTGTTTCTCACCATATTATCCTTAAAAATCATTAAATCCCTTTTCTCAGAGAATCCCTCAGTTTCTCTGCACTGCAAGTACCAGTGGAAGCAAAAAGAACACTGCATAAGAAGTGCAGTGTGCCATGGCAGATGAGGTAGCATCAGTGCTGTGGGAAGGCACATATAAAAGAGGGCACACACACTACGTATAGATATGCATATATACACACATATGCACAGTGTTTTAAAAAAGAAATATACACCATGTAAAACGCATATATTTCAACGTGCATAAAACAACTTGTGCTCATATAAACAAAGCACTTTTTTTTAATAGAAAGCTGTAATATGAATGCTCCGTGGAACAGAAAAATAAAGCTAGATTTACACAAAGCTCAAAAGACAAATACTTAAGAACACAGGAGACACTGCTGAGTTCTGTCAGGACGAAGGCTCCAACCACCAGCCATGGGGGCAGCTCTGCAGAGCACTGTGCACGGCTCACGGGCACCGTGGGACTGTGCCTGTGCTGGGGAAGGCAACGGCTGTGCCAGCCAACCCTGCGGAGCTGCTGCCCCTCACACCTCTGCACAGAGACCTGCTGCTGTGGGAACACATCGGCTGGCACACGAACAGCAAGGTTTAGCTCCGGTCTGCTTCAGGGCAACAGGGAAACTGATAGTTGAAGAAACTCGTTTCTCTCAGTATTTATAACAAAGCTAGTCCAAAGGACATGCTGTTCCTAAAGAACAGCAACACAAACAGTGAGTTCCTTCCACCTCAAGTCACAAAGTTAATCTATCTTTTTCCTCTGGCATAAAAGTGGAACACAAAAATATATTAGGTAATTACTAATGTTGCACATGAAGTATCCAAACCCAAGGTATTGGTGTTAGTGAAGTTCTAAGGAGCTAGACCACATGGATCCAGTGCATCTCAAAAATCAAAACGTACTCAGAACGAAGGGCCACAGAATAATCTCGTAGATTTGAGCACAGTGTCTGGAGACAAAATATGCCCTCTAATTTTGAGTTTAAATTCAGACTAGCATGGCTACCTTATGCAGAAATTGTCTGCTGACCTCTGTTCATGAAAGCATTGTACTTTTTCTCTGGAGCAATTCCTTTTAAGCAACAACAACAAAAAAATAACAGTGTTGCATGTGTCACTGGATTAGGATCAACCCCTCCATGCCAAAGGCACAGAAAACAATCCTTCCCTCATTACCCCTGCAGTAACTCTCAGCAAAATAAAGGGCAACTCAGCCTCCATGGGTAGAGGTGTGCAGTGAGGAAAAGTGAGACAGAGACATCTCAAATACATAATGATTGGACACCAGACTGCTAAATGTATAAGGCTGGAGGGTTGGTTTTGATTTTTAACTAGATGGTCCTATCCAGAACATCTCCACTCAACCAATCCATATATCATTACTTCTGCAAATATTTGTTAAGCAGAGGCACCCTAAATGCAGTCACTGGGACATATGTTCAATGTCTACTAACTGCACACAGCCATTTACACACCACACAATCTCACTTCCTTGAGCCTGTGCCAAAAACCACAAAACAAGCCCCCACAAAAGCATGACCCAGTACCGCATCTAATGCATATGCCAGCAACATCTCTTTGATACATCACTTTCTCTAACACAAAAACACCACAAGCTGAAGGACAAAAAAGAAAAGGTTTTGCTGTATGACTCCTGCTACTGACCTGCAGATCGGTTAGTTGCACCACTTAAGAACAGAAATTACTTCAATACAATTGCTGTACTCTTCTCTAGCACAGAGCAGGCAAGATGCTGAAGTTCTTGATCTCAAAGACTTTTTTCCCCCATTAAAAATAGCTTCTGAATACACCACAGAAGAACACAGAATGACATCAAACACCGACCAACAACCATTCTCATCTTTCACCTTCATCTTTACAGTCTTCGCATGAAAACACTCATAAATTAGAACAAAGGAGTTCCAGGCTTTAAGAGCCCAATTTTAAGACTGCATAAAACTGAACTTGACAACAGAAATCTCATTCTCAGCAGAACTCAGCATTCATGCCACTGAGCTCCTGAACAGAGTTTCCATTTTCAGTGCCTGGATGGAAACCGAGATTTTCATTTGTTTGAAATATTAAAATATCCTTGCATTTTAAGCCTTCAAGCAAGGATTTAAAATCAGGCTGTATTATTTCAAGTCAAGATTTTTTTTTTCCTTAATGAAAACCAGCATACATCCTTTCCAAAGTCAACTGGCAAGAATACCCAGAATCTTCTCTAAGAAGTGTTCTCACCAAGTTGTAATAATTTGCAAAAAATGCTGAGCTGCATTACTACGGTCACAGCGACCTGGCATTCCTCCTTCCAGCTGTTAGCATGCACTTAAAAAAAAAAAAATTATTTTACAAAATACTTCTCCTACTGATGCTGATGTAAGGGATGGATATTTTTATATTTTAAAACTCTTTTGTTTCTGATTTTTACTTCTGTTAACAAAAGCCTATTTTCTCATTAACTGATACACATGTGGATATACACACACAACTATGTAATATTACCATCTGAAAGCTGAGCGTTTTTTTAAACCTAGACATGCTTACACAAGCATCAATACAAGTTACTGTGATAACACTGAGGGAGAAAACCCTCCCGGAATAAGGATACTACTGAAATACACTTCTTGCACATAGCTTGTGCCAAGCCGTAGTTAGACATAAATCTGCACTTTACCAATCAAACTGATGATAACGGAAGTATATAGAAAAGCTTTCTCATGATTAGGTTATCCAAAACATTTCAGACACAATCATAACACCACACGTTAGTTAATACCAGGTCAGTTTATTTCTTGAAGTGCCTTAATTAATAGAATAGTCAGCAAATGCAGCGGACTGCTGTCCTCTCACCTGACCAGTACAGCTGTCATTGATACAGTAACTAGAAACAGTGTCTACAAATTATTACCAAAAAGCTGTAATCAAACGTCAAAGCAATCTAGTTCAGCCTTAGTTGCTCACCTGTATTTTCCAACAGTCAATAACTTATTGAACCTTTAGAAGAAGTGGAGTACGTTACTTTAAGCCTGATGACATTTTTTCAATAAAAATGGACTTTAAACTTAGCTGTACTTTAAAAATTGGGGTGAAATACTCATACCATTTCCACCCACGTGCCAAAAAGAGAAACGATTTTTTTATTTTTTTTTTTTTAGCACCTACACCTGACACTGGAGGTCTGTACAAGGCTGCCCAGAGTAGCTGTAGGTATCCCTTCCCTGCAGGTGTTTAAAAGCAAGCCCGGCCGGGGGCCCCGTGCAGCCCGAGCCGGCGGCTGGGGACGGCAGGGGATTGGAGCTCGACAATGTTTAAGGCCCGTCCCACCCTAAGCCATGCCGTGGCTGCCCGCACAGGCGCCAGGCGGCAGCACGGGGCCGGGGGCACAGAGCAGCAGCACCCCGACCGGCGCGCGCCTCCGCTTGGCTCTCTTCCCTCCCGCGCCCCGAGAGACCGAGCCACCGAGAGAGCGTCAGGGATCCCGCCCGTCCCGACCAAAGCCCCGGGGTTTACTTTCCACGGCTGCCACCGAAGCCGCCGAGCCCCGTCCGCGGGGCTCCGCCGTACCGCGGCAAACCCCCAAGGCACGACGCGGGGAGGGCACAGCGTCCGGGACGCGTCGGAGCGGGCCATAGTCGACCCCTTCCGGGGAGCCTCAAGGCCCGAGCTCCCAGCGGCGAGGGCGGGCAGCGGGGCCGGAGCTCGCCCTGAGGGGAGCGCGGCTATTAACCCGCCTCGCGCACCCCCTCCCGCACGGATCCCCTCGGCGCGCACGCAGGTACCTTCCGACTGGGCATCGCCCCCGGCAGGGCGGCCCGAACCCCGGTCACGTGGCGGGGGAGCCCTAGGGGCGTGGCGACAGAGGAACCCCCAGCCCGGCCGCACCGCCTCCCTTTCTAGCTTTGGCGCCAACAGAGCCGCAGCTCTTCATTGGGCGGGCCGGTGACGTCACGGAGGAGAGCGTCGCGCATGCGCGTTTCAGCGCCCAGGCTTCTTGGCGGGTTTTGTGGTGCCGTCGGGCTTCCGGGGGCGCTTCGCCATGTGGAGTGGTGACCCCGAGCAGTGAGAGGAGAGCCGCGTTCCGGCTGTTGGGGCAGGAGGAATCCTTTGGGTGGTGTTTGACCTTCATGCTGGTCTGCGTCGCTCAGATCTGACAGGGATGATGGGTGCTGTGTTAACAGCTCAAGGAAATAAACAGCTCGTACCTAACAAAGCAAAATGCAAACACAAGACAAAATGCTTTATGTGAAATTCGCTTGCTGTTAAGCCACGAGCTTAACATGCTTAACTCTAAACATCGGCATGCATTTACAGGCAAGACAATATAAACAGTGCCAAAATGTAGGGCCTTTGAATGGAGCTTGTCTTGCTGCAGAAAGTCACTGCAGCCAACTGAAGGGCAAAGAAGGCTGACAGCCTTTGACAGTGTTTTTCTGATTCAGGAGGAAGCACTGGCAGAAAAAGGGCATCCCAGTTATTTTTAAATGCTTTTGTGTTGTCTTGAGAAGGTCAGACTGTCAGTGGTGGTGTAAGGATAGAATAATAAACAATCTTTGTAAAAGAAAGAGAAAAAAAAGAATTGCGCTTTATATCTCAGCATAACTAGAATTTGTAAATGTATATGTTTTGTTAGAAGGCACTGTATGACTAATTTTTGTTATTAAACCATAATTGCATGTATCTGCAGCTATACTGTACAGTTTGTATGTTTTCCAAGGCACCCTGGGCCAATACCTATCTCACATTCCCTTGGTGAAACTGACACTAATTAAAGTGCATTTTGCAGAGAGAGAGAAGAGCCAGAATCATCATTTACAACTCATGCTGCCTTTGATTGTTATGTTCAAAACAGAGTTAAAAGCTGTATGTTCACATCCTTCCAAAAGCTTGCAGTATTTCTTTTCCAGTTACCAGATTGACAAATTAGTTCAATTATGCATCGTCAAAGTGGTTTTCTTTGATATTTCAAGAGGTATTACTGTGCTATTCAGTTAGATAGGTTATGTTAGAGCTAAATAACAGAAATACTCAAACCACAAAGGTTTAGCCAGATAAATGAATCTGTGTTATTTTTTTCTGTAGTCTCCTTTTAAGAATTACAAGATACTTGTATCTAGCAGGAATTTCCTTCTATGGAATCACAAGAAAGTGACCCAATAAACAGATTTATTTATTTGCTTTAATGTTCTTCATAAAGTAATACTAAAATGACATGGAAATAGAGGAAAGAAGCCAGAAAACAACCCTATATAAAATGAATTAAAATAGAGCTGTGATTGTTTTAAAAATAATTTTTTGTGAAAAAAGAATACTGGATAGCCAGCTTTTTCACAAAGGCCTAAAGAAGCTTTGTAATACTTGTACATTGTTCTTCCAGTCCGTTAAAAGTTTCTGTGGGTTATACCTGTCATCACATCTTGCAGGCATGAACAATAGTTTAATTCCATCCTTTGATCTGATGTACCAATTGACTGTGCTCAAGATCATGATGCCACTGCTTAGGAAACATTAAGAAATAGAACTTTTTGCATTCCAGTGCATTAAATATTTATTTAAAATGAACAGAAATTTCATGTAATCAATAAAACAATTTCTTCAGTAAAATCTGAAAAAAAATTAAAAACAAAAAAGAGCATTTATTTTTCTGCTGTTGCTTGCATGGACATTTTTAAATCCATGCAGAAAGAACTTCTCTCTCAAAGAAACAAAATGTATTTTAGACAAATTAATCAACAGATAAGGAGGCTTGGATTACTGAACCTCGAAGAACTTGTTTCCATTAAAGGAATGTGCCTGTCCTTCATTCTAATGTGAGTTTATGGATTCATTTCCTCCGATGGAGCATTAAGTTACAACTCTAAAAGCTTTCCAGTGTATAAAACCTTCAAGGACAATGTCAAATTCGAACACAGAGGAAGATGTTTGGTTAAAGTCGTTTCCTTAGCAAAGTTTTGAAAGTCACAAACATCCCAGCCACTTAATTGGAGTGAGATAGGGAGATAGCTCTAAGTATTTTAGAGCCCATGTTTCAGGATCAGCTTCTAACAGGTAATAAGTGATCCCAAAGCCTAGCCTAGATCAAAGACAAGTCAGTGTAGATCCAACACATTTTCTCCTGTAGACTGTGTTAAGTTTTTATGATTTCCAGCTTTCTAATGTTTCCTAGGAAACAACATGTAAAACTTCAGACTTCTTAGTCCCAAAGCTATGGCTTCAGTTCTGCTGCAAATTAAATGGTACCACTGCCCAGTGTGATATGCAGTGATATCCCTTTTTTCTTTCGTAACACTTGCATCTGTGGTGTAGTGCTCCTTTCTAATATTGTCTTCCATGCACCAGTGGCACAAAGTGTCTGATCTTTCAAAATAATAAATCACTGCTTTTCTTTCAGTGCTACACATCATTAGCAGGCAGCACTGAAGTCTTGGGAATTTCTCTACTAATTTCACTGGAGTCAGATCTGGCCTCAAATTATTTCCCTCTGAGCTGCAGAAAGCTCTGTACGGGTAATTTCTTTAGTACTAAAGTATGAACTACCACGAACATTCAAGCCAGAGATTTTATAAAACTTAAACCTTTCCTTTACTGAAAGTTAACTGTGCTCTGATTTGCGCATTTGCCTTAATGTTTATTTCATCCACACTCAAATTCATGAAATGGAAGTTCTTTCAGGTCATAATACCCACTTACTGGAGCCAGCTAGAGCTCTATTTTCCTCAGGCTACAACTCAGTAATTTTCCAGAACATATACAAGGGAATGTGCTATAGCATTAAGGCTGCTTTCATTGCTTTTCCAACATTCCCGTGTGAAGAATAGGTAGGTTGAACCATAACTGAAATATCTGTCTGAAAAAGCATCAAAAGCACCTGGGAGAAAATAAATAAATAAATACATAAGTTGTGAGATAAACCTCTGAACATACCATAGCACCCCAGACTGGCTGAGGCTGGCAGTGCCTTCTGGCTCTGTTGGACTCAAGCCCTGCTTCTGCAGGGACACCGGAGCAGGGGCCCAAGCCCATGTCCAGCTGCTGGAGGTCTCTGAGTAGCAGACCCCACACAGCAGACCTGCCTCTGGGCAGCCTGTGCCAGCGCTCTGTCATGTGCACAGCACAGAAGTGCTTCTGGCGCTCTGAGGGAACATCCTGTGTTCCAGTTTGTGTCAGTTGCCTCTTATTCTGGCACTGGGCACCACAGAAAAAAGCCTGGCTCTGTACTCTTTGCACCCTCCCTTCAGACTTCTACATACTGAGATCCCCTGGAGCCTCCTCCAGGCTGAACAGGCCCAGCTCTTCTAGACTCTCCTACCCAAAGCTGACTGCTTCAAATAAAGTCCAATGTGATGATTAGCAGACACAGAACATGCTGAGGTACAAATCCATAAAATTGCATTCTTACGCATATGCAATCTTGCATTTTCTGGATAATGGAGCATTTGCTAGAGTTTTGTTTTGTTTTTAAATTATTTTATGTGTTCATCAGCAAGAGAGTTTTGAGTGAAGGAAATAAAATTTGTGCTCTATATCTATCAGTGTGTATCTACCTTCTATATCAATATCTTCCTGGCAGCAATTCTTTTTAAGATAAACTTAGAAGCCTGTGGAGAGGAAAAATATTTTGTTACCTTTCAATAAAGCAAGTGGCTTTTCTACCACCTGAGTGGCTGAGGGAGCTGAGATTGTTTAGTCTGGAGAAATGGAGACTCAGGGGAGACGTCATCATGCCCTACAACTTCTGAAGGGAGGTTGAGATGAGGAGAGCTTTGGTCTTCTCCCACGCAACAAAGAGAACCCAATGAAATGGCCCAAGTTGTACTAGAGGAGGTTTAGATTTGATATAAGGAAAAACTTTTTCTCTCAAAGAGCGGTCCAGGGAGGTGGTGGAGTCACCGTCCCTGGCAGTGTTCAAGAGGCATCTGCATGAGGAGCTACGAGGTATGGTTTAGTAGCTTATTGGATAGTAATGGTGACAGGAAAAGGCTGGACTAGATGATCTTGTAGGTCATTTGCAACCTTGTGATTCTACGTATCTATCACATATCTCATATTCGTCCAGTTGCATTTCTGCTTTTGTGTTTGAGGTTTGTGAGTGTCTGAGTTAAGGAATGAAAGCGATAACTAGAAAATGCTCAAGTCACTTTTAGTAAACTAGTTGTATAAACAAACCCTCTGCTGACTACAGGAGTAGTCACGAGCCTTTCCTCAGACACCCTTGTAGATAATCTTGATAGCATAATACAGCTTAAAAACATGGTAGCAACAAGGGGAGGTGAAGGGAACCCCAAATCAAAATCCAGTGTATGAGTGCACATTAATTTAAATTGTCCGATCCAAATACTTTCCTGACTGGCATGAAGCGTTAACTCAGTAATGTGAGCTCAGTACTTATGCACTGGCAGTTTTCAAGGCCTGACGTTCAGATGTTGCTATTGGAAGCAGAATGTGGGTGTGTGTCTTAAGTGATTAATGTGTAATTAATCGTAGAGAACAAGAGCCATCGTATACAGCTTGCACTTAGTGATTTTAACTTGTATATAAATTCCTATCGAATCTGCACAGCTTGTAAAATAACACTGGCTCTCACAATGCCTGGAAGAGCTCACAGGGCTGAGTAATGGATTTTAATTGATTTCGTTGCTGGATAGATTCCCGTTGGTTAATAGGATCTCACGCCCTGACGTGCACAACTTCAACTCCCCACCGAACAGCGTGCAGTGAAGGTAACACGAGGTGAAAACCGCGCACTCACGAGCATCTGCAGCCCAACAGTGGCTCCGCGCTATCTGCAATACGGAAGGCAGAAAAACAGTTAACCAGAAAAACACATTCAGGGCCCGAAGGCGGCAGACTGAAGGCGTCTCCAGCCACCGGCAGCTCGCCGG